AATGAGCCATTTCTTCAAGGAGCCCTGGTTTCTTTTAGTAGAGAATGCTATTAGAGGGCAAGATCAAGGTGCTAAGTGATCTCATTGCTACTGAAATGTCTGCTGCTTGGCCTTTTCATTGGACAGAACTAGCGCGTATACACATGTATATGCATATAGCAGGCTAGCATGCATATACATACACATATACAAACATGTATTTACATGTGTACGTGGAAATACGTGTATTTTGGAAAACATGATTTTATACCAGTATTTCCAATTCCATAACAACCTTACTTGACTCTGTTGTGTCTTTCCCCATTTTATATCTTTGTTCCTTTTCCTTACACAGTGAGATCCTTGGCTCATTTGCTCAGTTCTGTAATACATATAAAATCGTTTCAGAATTGCATGGTCCATACCACTGTAATTAAAAAACAACCTACAAAAACCATTCAGGATTTGCTTATACTTCTCCCCACCCTGCCTATGAGATAATAGAAAATATATGGATTGGTCTCTGTCCCCAGTTTCTGGCACAGAATTCCAGAAGCTCTTTAAAATTCCTAAGTGATAAGAACATTAGGAGCATAGCTTGTTATAATATTTGGTTCTTTTTTTATTATTTAAAAGATTTTTTAGTAATCTCTGTACCCAGCGTGGGGCTTGAAGTTACAACCTCGAGATCAAGAGGTGCATGCTCTGCAGCCAGGTGCCCCCTAATATTTGGTTCTTGACCCTGGGTCCTGTCATAGCTCCTGAAACCCTTGTAAACGCCTAAGTTATAAGGGTATTAGGAGCAGCTTTTGTTCTAATGAGGCAAATCTGGGTAGGCACCTGGATGGCTCCTGGGATGGTCACTAGACAGATCAAGCCAAGTTTAGAAGCTTGGTATTTTGAGCCCCACTTCCCATTCTCCAGAGACTAGAGAGGGATTGGAAATGGAGTTAATAATTGATCATGGCTGTGTGAGGAAGCTTCCATGAAATCCCAGTAGTATGGCGCTGTTGGGAGCTTCCAGGTTGGTGAACATATCCATGTACCCGGAGAGTGATACACCCAGCTGTATGGGGACAGAAGCTCCTGTGCTTGGGACCCTCCCAGATCTTGCCCTATATGTCTCTTTACTAGTTATTCTTCTGTATTCTATATCATATCTTTTAATAAACTGGTATTTGAGTTTTGTGAGCTGTTTTAGCTAAAAATCAAATCCAAGGGAGAGGAGGTCATGGGAACCTCTGATTCTGTAACCAAGTTGGATGAAGTTATGATTAATCTGGGGTCCCACTACTTGAGATTAGCATCTGAAGTGTAGAACAGTCTCAGTTAAGACTGAGCTCTTAACCTGTGCGATCTGACACTATCTTCAGGTAGATGGTGTCAGAATTGAGTTAAATTGTCAGCTACCTAGTTGGTGTCACAGAATTGTTTGGTGTGGTTAAAAGACCCCACATCTGTTGTCAAGTGTTGTGGATGCGGTAGTGTCAGAGTAAAGGAGAAACATGGGAGGTGGACTAGTTTTTTCCTTTTCACTGCCCAAGACTGAAAAATGGGGTCAGATTCTGTGTTCATAAGTTACTTAGTTCCTTTGGCCCTTCTTTCTTTTGGTGTGGATATGTATTCATTTGAAATGTACTTAGTTCCTTTGTTTCACTATACCCTCCCCCACTCTGATTGATTTAAGTCTTTGAATATGCATTATGTCAATATGTTTTCAAATACCGTTTTTTCCTGTATCTCTTCCACTTCATCCTACCCACCTTTGTAGGTAATCAACTTTATTGTTCCCTAGTTTCATCCATCCTGTGTTTTTTATTGTAATAAACAGATCCATGAATGTTTTATTTTCTTTTTCCCTTATCCAAAAAATGACATATATGTCCTTTTGTACTTTGCTTTTTTTCACTTAGTAGTATCCCGTAGAAATCACCCCATGCCAGTCATAGATGGCTTCCTTCTTATTTTTACAGCTATATGATTCTCCATTGCAGGTATGTACTATAGCTTATTCAGCTAATCTCCTATACACAGCAGGCTTTTTAAGGAGATACATTTACAAATTCTTAAAAATGATTAAGAAATAGAACGTAATGCAAATATGGTTTGAGTCTTTAGTGCATCCTGTGTTTAATTATACAATCAAATAAACTGTAAAAATTTAAGCTCTGTAATGAACAATACCAGAAGATCTTTATTCTAACCCCTAGCATGATAGCTCATGAAGTGTAGACTACAGTTGGTTCTATCCCTTTTTTCTCCCATATAGTAGTTTATTGTCATCCATTAGTTATAACTCTAAAAGAAAAAGTGAGGACTGAAAGAGAGATATTCCAGATAAGATCAGTCATTTTCAGTTGATTTGAAGTTTACCAAAACTAGAGAGAGAAAGCTTTGTATGTTTTAGTACTGTCACTGAGAGAAAGTCAAATGACAGGCCGTACTCGTGTAATACAGCTGCAGCACAAGAACAAGGGTAATTTAGAACTGGGTTAATCTTGGAATGATCAAGGGTTCATTGTATAATAAGTTGGTATCTTCCTCTCTGTAGGGCTGTGTTTATTTCTGGGATAACTCTGCATTTCTCAACTCTGCAGATGTTTAGTACTTGTATTAAACAGTAATTTTGTGAGGAACTTCAGGATTAGTATGAACTTAATTCAGGAAAATTTAGAGTTGTAGTTGACAAAAATAGTTGCTATACAATATCTGAAAGTAGGTAGACAATTTTAGGTATGGCAAAAGGAAAGCAAAGTTATGAAGACATGTTTAAAAAAAAATATATGTATATGTATATATATATATATATATATTTTCCAGTTAATGGAACTAAAATTTTTTGTTTAATGAGTAGGAAATCTAAATTGTAAACATTTATAATTTGACACAATGTTTTGGGATACAGTGACTATTGGTATTTTATCAGAATTTAATATTGAGGGGAAAAATCAGTTTCTAAAATATTAAGATGTTTAGAGCATTACAAATGAAAATTTTTCTTAAATTAGTTTTTGGAATTTATTCTTGCTCATAGTCTTGTGACAAGCCTTGTGATCCCACTGTGGATATTTATATAGGTGAGCAGACCATCATGAGATTTTTTGTTTGTTTGTTTACTGAGCCAATTTTCTCCACTATATGACGCCAGTAGAACCAGACTTGATTGTCCCTAATTCCTTTTTGGAAAATTCTTGGCAAGGATACTTAACTAGGGAAGTCCTTATGGTGTCATACAAACAGCACTAGATCAAGAATCAAAAGAGATCAAGATTCTGAAGCCCACTCTGCCGCTAAGAAGTTATGTCAGCCTATTTTAGGCCTCATTTTCTTGTCTGTAATGTGAGCAGATTTATTTGTATGATCTCTCAAATACCTTTCCAAATATTTTTTGCTGGCACGTACAGAAACATTTTGGCTTTGGCAAAAATTAAGGTCATGAAGTATAAATTATTATTTTCTACATTAAGGTATATGTGCGGGTGCAAAAGTGGTGAGAAAGTAAATAATTACTAATACTTTTTTTGAACTTATTTTTGGATGGGAAAAAGTTTGTGATAGATGTTTTATTGTCAGTGTCATACTTCATGGTGGCCTATATAAGTAAATTCCAGGAAGACAGCCACGAAGAAACTCCTGTGATCTAAGAAATTAGGGAAAAGGATACAAAAAGAATTCTGGTTGGAAGAGTTCTGCTAATTGTGAAGTTCAAAAAGAGCTATAAAATGCTTGCTAACAAGCCTTGAACTATACCTTTTTATTTGTTTGGTTATGGTGGCTGTTTTTGAAGTTAAATACTTCATTTATTCCATAGGTATTTATAAAGAAGCCCCTTCATTTAGAATTGGAGGATAGAGCAGAGAGCAAGATACACTTGAACCCTATCGTTTTGTTTTGTAACTTGCAATAATGAAAATGGATAATAAGCAAGATACTTACAAATTGTGTTACCTCCTATGAAGAAGAATAAATAGTAATGTGATGGAAAGTAATGAGAGAGAGAGAGAGAGAGAGAGTGTGTGTATGTTTGTGTGTGTGCGCGTGCACGGTTGGGAACTAAGACCTGAATGTTGAAAAAAAGCTAGCTAGACAAAGACCAGGCAGAAGAGAAGTAGATAAAACACAGTAAGGTAGAAAAAGATTGATACACCCCAGGACAAAGAAAGGCAGTGTAGGGACAGGGCCAGTGGAGGGATGGAAAGAGTAGCTTGAGGTGAGTTTGGAGAATTAGGACAGTAAGGGCATAGAACCATGGTAGGGAGTTGATTTTATTCCAAGTGCAATAGGTAAACTATCAGGGGGTTTAAGCAGGACAAATTACTTGCTTTAATAAACATTTTTAAAAATATTTATTTATATTAGAAAGACTGAGAGCAAGAGAGATCATATGGGGGGAGGGAGAAGCAGACTCGCCGCTGAGCAGGGAGCCTGATGTGGGGCTCGATTCCAGGACCCTGAAATCATGACTTGAGCCAAAGACAGACTTTTAACCGTCTGAGCCACCCAGGCTCCCCTTTAATAAACATTTTTTAAAGTTTACTCTTTTCGGGGTGCCTGGCTGGCTCAGTCAGTAGAGCATACAACTCTTGATCTTGGAGTCATGAATTTGAGCCCCACATTAGATGTGGAGTCTACTTAAAAAAAAAAAAAAGCATGACTGTATGACTGTGTGTGGAAAGGAATTAGAGGGAAGCAAGAATGGAAGCAGTCAGACTATTAATAGTAGTGGTGGAAGGAGATGGTGGTGGCTTAGACAAGAGCAGTAGCATTTAGTGGAGGTGGAAGAAGTGAATATTTTGCAGATGGGACTGACTGAATTTGCTGATGGGACTGAACATCAGAGGTAAAGGAAATATTCTCAAATACTAGAGATTTTTTTTAAAAGGGATACTTAAAATTGCTCTGTTAAAACATAATATTTAGTTACAACAATATTTAATGCTAATATTCTACCTGATAAATACTTTGACAAGTTTATCCTTTTTATTTTATTTTTTCCTTTTTTATCCCCCCCCCTTTTTTAGGCTTATGCATCTGGATGTGACATTGTTATACTGGGAAGTGATTTTGAAAGATTACAAATAATCCCAGGAGCTAAACATGGAAATATTCAAGTAGGATGTGTAGACTGCTCAATGCAACAAGGCAAGGTTTGTAATCTTGTAATGTGGATTTGTTTTGAATATGGTTTTTGTCAGGATAATCTCCAAAGTGTGTATTTCCTATTGAATTTGAAGCTTGCTTTGTTTCAAGGACAATGTAGCTACAAATTTCTTTGGCTGTCTAAGATGCACCATAAAGAACAAAATTCCTGACTCTCTCAGATGTGTCTTAGAGATTGTCAGGAAGTCTGCTCTTACATAATTTCAAAATACAGCATAATCTTTTTCTGTGAGTTGATAAAGAAGTATTAACTGTAGAACAGGTCTAAAGCTTACTTATTTAAAAATTGAAGAAAAGGAATGACAATAAACCTTCAATCTATTTGCAAATAAACTACTGAAGAGAAATCATTTGTTAGAGTCATTCTTTCTCTGTACAGGTATCTCCTTATAATTTCTGGATAAACTTTGTACTGAAATGGAGTCCAGCTCTTCTAAAGTGCATAGTTTTTTATTAATTTATTCCAAGTCTGTAAAATTAATTTATTCCAAGTCTATAAGAAAAATGAAAAATTTTGTTTGGACTTTTATTTGCATATGAAAAGTAACAAGTAACCTTGAAAGTAGAACAGCAACAACAACAACAGAATCAGGCTGTGATTCTGTATCAGGTGAAGTACAGTTCTGTGTAGTAGCAGAATTGGTAGAGTCATGGCTAGTAGACAGCATAGTGTAAAGCTACATATAGCATCATGGAGGCACGGGTAGCCAGGCCTGGGCATGCTTGTAGCTAGACTGGGCTCAACTTTGCAAATTTACTTAATTTTTTGCTGGATATTTAAATATATTACTGCACTATATGATTGCACTGGAACATTTTGTGTGAGGAATCAAATGGGCCCAATCTTTTTTTTTTTTTTTTTAATCTAATCATTTCTAATGAACCTGCCAGTCTGAAAAGTTACCTCTTAGTACCTAGTTTGGTGGTACTTATGGTAAAATGAGTTTTGGCTCTTACCATCTTTACCTGTTTTTTGGACTACTATATTACTCCTGTGTCCCTTCCCTTTACAGTTACAAGTGTCTCTCATCTGTCTTTCTTTTGTTCACATCTTTAATTCTCACTATATTACAAAAATGATTTTTATTATGGAATGTTGAAAATCCTTGAGACTTCCAGGAACCCCCTTCTCTTCATGTTTGTTTGATATCCAGCTCTATAGTTCTGTAATCTTCATTATTGTATTAAAACTTGCTTATAACATCTACACTCACATAAGCCTGGCTATGTTAGAAATCCCATTTAATAACTTTAAATATGAGTTATGTTTTCATGATAACCTAGATTACATGACAGTCCAGATTAAAATAAACAGGTGATTTGGTTTATAGTCATTTTTTTTTCTTCTAAAGATTTTATTTATTTATTTGAAAGAGAGAGAGAGCACAAGCAGGGGGAGTGGCAGAGGGAGAGGGAGAAGCAGACTCCCTGCTGAACAGGGAGAGGGCCACCCATAGCAAGGCTCCATACCAGGACCCTGGGATTATGACCTGAGCTGAAAGCAGACACTTAACCGACTGAGCCACCCAGGCATCCCCTATAGTCATTTTCATAAAGGGCAGATTTCCTTTGTGTCACAGATATTCATACAAATAAATGACTTCTCGCCATATCAGGAAGAAAGTTTGCAGGTTATGATACTTGGAGATTTCTGTTGTCCTTTAAGAAGGAAGTGCTGCCTGATACCGTAGACATCCAGTATTTTAGCATTACTGGTTTTTTTTCTCTGAGGACTTAATTAATTTTCATGAGAAAATTCATCTGCATTTCTCTTATTCATTTGCTTAAAAACATTCTTTGCATCCCTTTACCTTGGGAAAGTTCAAGTTGTTCACCTTGGCATGAGACCCTGTACAACCTGGCTTAGATCTGCCTTTTTGGACATATGTACATCATTCTCTTAGAAGGGACACTCTGTTCCATCTCAGCTGGTAGTCACCTCTAGGTGTACATTGCCTCTTCTTCTAATCTTTGCACTTGTGTTCAGTAACTTGTGTTATGCCCTTTTTCTACAATTGAATATTCACTGCTCTTTGAAGTCTGACCCACTTTTAAAAGCCCAAACTAAATACTCCCTCCCAGACTGACTCCGTACAGATGATTTCTATGTCCTATGAACTTCTCAGAACAATTAAAAATAGCCATTGAAAGTTTTTTCCATTACATCCTCATTCCTTACCCCCTTCTTCTCAAGATTATATTCTCTTATTTTTATCCCTTATACATTTTTGTATCTATCAGTCTTCATTTCTGATATTTCGTTGTTCTTCATTGTGGCTCACCCAAGCTATAATAGTAGCCACCTTATAAAACAGAGCCATTGATTGAAAGAGCAAATTTTAAAGATACTCAGATAAAATGGAGTATTGAAAAAAAAAATTTCTTAGAGCATTCACAAAGGAATAGATCTAAGTTTTATTTTTAAAAAGCTAAATACACAGTGACAGAATTGTCAACTTTGAAGACAGATAACCTAGAAATGGATTAAGTCCTATCTAATTTCCACTTGACAAGGAATATAACAATACATTTTTTTCTATGAGGAAGGGAATTAATATTTACCATGTATCTTATAGGTAATTATATATAGATGCTTTACAGATGTTGTTTTAATCCTCAAACTGATTCCATTAGGATTATAGTATTATGCATATTGTAAATATAGATAGAGACGCTAAGGTACAGAGAGATTAACTTGCTGGTTACTCAGTAAGTGACAGTACTGGAATTCTGACTCAGGTATGGTGGTCTCTTAAAAATGATATTCTCAAATATGATAAATGAAATTGTGTGGGGGGGGGCTTATTTTAAGTTGTACTATTAATTTCTTTTGCTCTTTTGATTCATAAGTAAGTTAACATATCCGTAAGTTTTCTTTCTTTTTTCTTTTTATAAGATTGCAGCATCCTATGGAAATGCTATCTCTGTTTTTGAACCAGTTAACCTACCGAAGCAAAAGAAAAATTTGGTCAGTAATTTATCATTTTTCTTTTAGGAATTGAAATGTCTTGAGTATTAAAAGACACTATTTTTAAGAGTACAAAATCAGAGTGATCATCAGATAAATCGTATAAATTATACCATGATTAAAAGATAGATGTTAAATGCCACTTCCATATTTAAAATATGTTTTAAATCTTAGATTGAAACAGAAGTAAATCAAATTGTGTTGATGAATTATATGTGTTTTTTTTCGTCTGACATTTTTCTTTTATAATAAGTATTTGAAGAGTCACAACCTTAAGTTCAGTAGTTAATTATTGCTAATGGTAAACACCATTATCTAGTGAAGGGTGGCACTTTGTTTTCGGTTTTTATTATCTACTTTTTATATAGTTGTTCTGCTTTTTCTTAAGTATTTTGTTCTTAAAATTACATGTTTTAATTGCAGAGTCTTAATGTACCTTCAGGACTTTTTTTTTTTTGGCCCTTATTGTATCATGTAATATAACTGTTAACAGGTCAATAAGTGTTTTTCTTTATGAAGAAACTATATTCAGAATTAGTTCTGAAAGCTGGTTAAAACAATAGTTTATAAATACTAGATTTCTTGGGTGCTTTAATGCTCTAAATATAATAGATCAGGTTATTTTACCCATTTCTACTGAAGGTTAAACTGGTGATTTAAACCATAAGAAAGAGAATCAGCGTAGTATGGTCTTAAGAACGTTATCTTAGGAGCCATAGGACTGCTTTCTTTCTTTCTCTGCTGCTTTCTAGCCATTTGATCCTAAGCCAGTCAGTCTTACGAGGCCCTTTGCTCAATTCTGAAATTGGTTAATAGCTATTCATTCTTCATGGGAATACTGGAACAATGACATGATGTCAAAAAGTGTGCAGAAGTATGTTCACTATAAATAATTATGTTTTAATAATATACATACCTTTATATCTTTTAATATTTTTCATTTCATTTTCACTTAGCTCATTAGTATCTTACAAATTCCCTCTGTTTTAGTATGACAGCTGTTTTTGTTTTTGTTTTTATAAATAAGACAGCAGAGACCCAAAGAAAATTAGTTGGTTGACCATCGGAATAGCTGCTGAGCCACAGAACTAAGTAAAACCAGCTGTATTGATTCCTGAGTGTGAGCATTCTTTTCCCTACCTTATGTAAATGAAAACATTTTCTCTAGGTTAACTAATGCTCATTTTAAAATTTCATGGAAAGAGAGTCCACAGCCCTCCCCTGATTTATATTTGTGTTGTGTATTACCTAATGAATCCAATATTAGAGGCCCTGATAACCTATGAATTAGTAATTGATAGTAGTAGAAATAAGTGATTGCTGTGCTCAGAATGATGTATTTCAAATAGTACTTATAAATATTTATTGAATGAGGTAGCTGACTTTTAAAAAAGAGGTTTGGTTTTTTCCCATTTTCTCATGTACTAAATAAAATTGTTTAATGTAATGCTAAAAAGTGAGTGAGAAGAGGCTGGTTTATTAGTAGGCAGCACTGACTTTGCAGAAAGGGTTAAACAAAAAAAAGCTTGATGAATAAGGGGAAAACTGGATCAAATGGAAAAATGGACTTGGAAGGTACACAGAATCTGTAATTTCTGGGTCTACCCAGAGAATCTGTAGATTCTCATAAAAAAGACACTATTTCCTTTCCTGTATACATTCTAGAATATTCTTTTAAGGTGGTGATTCTTCATGAGAGGAACACTTCAGAATCACTGGTTGGACCATGTGTCCAGATCCTGCCTTGGGGATTTCTGTATCTGTAGGTGTGAGGTTGTGAGTAGGCACTTCTATGTCTAGTTCTGGAGAGGGTTCTGTTGTGCACTATGATTAAGAGCCATTCCTGCAAGGCAGTGTTTCATAAAAGCATATTCTGCAAACCACCTGTATCAGAATCACCTGGGGTGTTCATTTAAAGTACAATTCCTCATTCTGGGTTTTTTGAGCCTGAACTTTTGGATACGTGCCTCAGAACATATCTAAAACATCTCAGGTTATTGTACTAAAGTATGAGAAACATTACATTAAAAGATTGTTTATGGGTCTCAGTCTTTTAGAGGTTAGTGAAATCAACTTAGTAGGCCACAGCCTGAATTTAAAAGAAAAGGAAGTAAAATGAAAATGATAGAGTGCATCACATGTAGTAAGGGTAAACTAAGATCGCATTTATTATGTGTGTGTATGTTTTGGGTCCCCTCGCAACATATATTTCTTACTGGTTTATAGGTAAAAACTTTTGAAAAAATGTTGCTTTAACGAATGAAAAAATCTTAAATAATATAATGGAAGTATTACATTTCGTAATCTGAGTTTTCATACGTACTTTTTGATCTCAGGTGAGGATGAAACATTAAAAGAGAAGGAAGCCTCAGATAGCACGGACACAGACACATTTAGAATTAAACCTTTGTAACTATAATAATATAAGGTAATCGTAATTTTTAAAATCTGAGGTTAACGAGAATGTTGTCCAAAGTGGCATATACTTACTGGATGTTTGTGCTGAGACAGACTTTTGGACCTCCAGGAATGGGTATTCATTCTCTCACTAATCTCTTCCATCACATATTTCTTATTATTCTCAACTAAACTGAATATTTTGTTCCCCATTAAAAATGACTGCATGGTCACTTGTACCTCAAAAAAATGGCTTCATGTATTACTAAGAAGAATAAGCATGAATGTATGTATTTGATATAGAAAAGCTGCCAATAATAATTGACTAAATGAGTTTTTTACTTTAATTTTAGGAATTATATAGTCAATGGCAGAAAAGTGGCCAATTTTTTCTGGAATCAATAGCACACAACATAATTTGGGATCCTGCAGGTAAGAAATGGATTAACTGAAATGAAATATCACTTGACTAGGCTGTTTCTTTTATTACTTTCCTGTATTTCAGTTCTGCTTTGTGTGAGATTGTGGGGAATAAAAAATAAATAAAACATCATGTTCTTTTAGAGCTTATACTGAAATGAAGACAAATATTGACTGCAATACCTATTGTTTTGGGAAAGAGACTTTAATTCTCTCTGGAGAATCAAAGTTTCATTGAAGAGGAGCTTTTTGACCTGCAGTTAGGTAGATGTTAACATTGAGAATGGGGATAGATGGGAGGAGAGAAAAAGAAGTGAATTCTAAGAAGAGATAATGTGTGTATATATCACTTATATATTTCTGCACTAAAAAAAAAATCCCAAAGCCATTTTTACTAATCTACTGCAGTGAGCAAAGGCACAGAGAAAGAAAGCATAAGGTACATTCTCTTAACGCTTAGGACTTCATTGAGGCTGGAGTGAGTCTGGTGATAAGGAGATAAGACTGCCGCATATTATGGAAGGCCTTTAAAGTTATGCTAAGGTATTTGAATTTAATTCTTTTTGACTATCCAGAAAAATATTATAGGTTTTGAAAGTGGCTCGTGATAAGCTAAGATTTATGGTTTTGTACGATTTTTCTGGTAGCAGTAAGTTGGAAGGAACAGGAGGATAAAATTTATAATTATTTATAATTACCTTTGCACAGTATGCATTCACAGTAATCTAAATGAGAAATAAGAATTTATTTGAGGACCTTTAATGTAATAGGTGCTTAATTAATGTTGAATGACTAATGAAAGGAGTGCAGAGATATGAAATGCATTTAGGCGATAGAATTGACATTACTTGACAGTTGGATTTTAGAGTATTTTGAGAATATCTGTGATCACAAGAGGAAGTGTGATATGTAGGAGTTACAGATAGTGGAACATAGGTTTTGTTTGGACATGTGGAATTTGACAGGCTTACATAGCATATAGCAATAACCAAAATATAGAAATTTCTTTTTTTTTTTTAAAGATTTTATTTATTTATTTGACAGAGACAGAGATAGCGAGAGCAGGAACACAAGCAGGGGGAGTGGGAGAGGGAGAAGCAGGCTTCCCGCGGAGCAGGGAGCCCAATGTGGGACTCGATCCCAGGACCCTGGGATCATGACCTGAGCCAAAGGCAGCCGCTTAACGACTGAGCCACCCAGGCGCCCCAAAAGATAGAAATTTCTAGAATACAAGAAGTTATCTTTGAAACATAGAAGCCATCAGTTTAGATAAGATAGCTTGCATCTTAATATAGTAGATGAACTGGCTGAGAAAAAAATATTTAGAAAACAAAGTTCAGAACCCTTGGAAATTATTTTAGAAGATAAAAGATTATCTTTGAGATACTTTTTAAAAAAAATCAGTGTTTTAAAATGTTTTTTCTTATGTAAGGATGTATGATTGATGCATTCTAGCCGGTGACGTACATGTATATTTTATGCATACAGTGGAAAGAGATCAGACATGGGTTCAAATTTAGCATGTAGTTTAGTACAGCAGTTTATGTATAACTCTACTAGATAGTGAGACTTATGTCCCAGATAATGCCTGTTTCTCCATTGATTATTAATAGTGTCACCTTCTGTTCTCAAAAAAGTTCCTATTTGGATGATACATGTTATTCTGTTATAGCACAACATTCTATTGTAATTATTTGTTTACATGGTTTAAATTTTTGATTAGACAAGGGCTGAGATTCTAGTTTATTCAGCATTTTCTTTATCTTTGAGGGGCCATTATATTAGGCTTCCAATAGGTGTTCATATATTTGACTATAAGTTTTATGATCATGAAGAAATTACTTAACAGATCAAGAATGGTTAATTCACTTGTAAATTAAGGTAATATCTATTTCACAAGCTAAGTTTTTAATGATCAGATATGTCAGTGTATTTGAAAGTACTTGGTAAATGATTAAGAGCCCTGTTTAAAAAAACATAGTGTTAGCAAGTGAACTAGCTATTTGAAGTGTCATATTTATAACTAATAAAAACATTTCATATTAGAATAAATGGTATTTCTTTAATAATAACATAATAGTTGCTTGGAAATTTTGTACCTTTGGTCTACCAGTAATAATGCTTTGGGGATAGTATTAATGTTAAATTCCTCTGTCATCATTACAGAGTTATATCAAAAGATAATTACCTGTTTTCCTATCTAGTAGTGACTTGACAACAGCTTATGACCATTCTCTCTTTATTATGATTAAGTTAAAATTCACATAAAAGTTTATTATTTTTCTTTCAATAATCAAAAAGTTTAAAATTTAATGGTTTGGTTAAGAAATGGGTTATTGTTGTAATAAATATTTGGAAGCAATTAGTATATTATTTTTGCAAGTGAACTTCAATTATTTATAAACAGATTTTAAATATTTTAAGTGAAGTATTAGTATTTTGGTTTTGATCGATACTTAACTATATGCCAGGTATTGGGATATAAAGAAATTTTTTCAGATGATGCTACTAAATTGACTCTAGTGCCTTTGTGTTTGCTCCTGATCCACTACCACACCTGGCTAAAATCATAAGATTTTTCTCTTTAAGACTTTTTATGCTTTGTTTCCCTACTTTATTATTCATACCTCTGCCCTTTGTGTTCAAGTCAATATACTGTACCATACATTAGCTATTTTTGTATCATTTCATAACTGGGATTAATCATTTTGTATTCTGTATTAATTTCTTAATCCTTCATGGTATACCTTAAGTTCAGCTTCAGTTTATGTTAAAGAAAATTTGTAAAAACCAAACTCATGAATACAGCGGTGAGATTGGCAGTTGCCAGAGGCAGGAATGAGGAGTGGATGAAATACATGAAGAACGGGGGTTAAAAGGCACAAAATTCCAGTTATAAAATAAATAAGTCCTGTGGATGTAATGTACAGCATGGTGACCATAGTTAACAATACTTAATTGTATATTTGAAAGTTGCTAAGAGAGTAGATCTTAAAAGTTCTTGCATCACAAGAAAAAAAGTTGTAACCAGTGTGTGGTGATGGATGTTAACTAGATTTTACTGTCCTGACCTTTTTGCAGTATATGCAAAATCAGATCATTATGTTGTACACCTGAAATGAATACCATGTTATATGTAAGTTATATCTCAATTTAAAAAAAGAAAACTTGTGTCATTATGCTAAACAGTGTAATAATAACCAAATGTAAATGGAATGTCTCATTGGTGCTTTCTAGCTGTTCATGAGACTTTCTGTTGAGTTGCTACTATTTATTGAGCTTCTGCTAAGTGCCTAGCCTGTGCTAGATGGGTAATACATATTATAGCTAATCATTACAGCAACTCTATACACACTTCTGATTTTATAGATGAGAAGAAAATGGAGGCTCAGAGTTTGTTCCACTAGATCAAATTCACATGACTAATTAAGTGACTTATTTGGGATTTAGACACAGGGATTTCTGATTTACATTTGTGTTTTGTCACGGACCTACTTTTGAAATAAAGTGATCTTTCCAGAGAGACACAAATCCACAGTCCTTAATTGCCAAAGCAAATGCCTTACTTACTTTGAACTTTTTGACCACAGATATGTCTCTTCCTTTCTTGTTTTTGTTGGGATGACAACACAGCCTTCTCCTCAATTACCCAAGTCATAAGTTGAAATCTGTCCTTGAAGCCTCTTGTATCTCCTGTTTTTTAGTTGGTGTCAAGCCTTGAAAATTCTGCTTTTGAAATGGCTTTCAAATTCTTGCTTCTTATTTTCATATTTGATTCAGATCCTCATGATTTCCTTTGTGTGTTACAGTCAGTTAACCAGGTTTCCCTGTGTTTTTGTTTTCCCTAATCTCATCTATCTCTAGTCTTAATTTTTAAAAAAGAATCTTTACCTTTCTTTGTGTACTGGAGCCTTTGAAAGCATGGTGAAAATTTTGGATTACCTCTCTAGAAAAATGTACATGCTATACAGATAACTTTTGCATATTATCTCAGCAGAGGAAGGTTTACAGGCCTCTTCAGGTCCATCTTTTGATATCCCCCCACCCCAGTTCAAACCCCTTGTTCTAAAATACAGATCCACTTATGTAACCCCCACACACTTAAAGCTCCCAACTATCTATAACAGAGCCCAAATTCCTTATAAACTTCAAAAATGCTTTATAGTCTGACCCCAGAAACTTTTCCAACCTTACTTCTTTTTCCAAGTCTACTGTGCACTTTATTCTGTAGCCATAAACCAAATTATGAATCATTCTTGGGGATATATTTGAACTTTCATGACTTCACGTCTCTCTTTACATGTCTCTACCAGAATGTGAAGTCATCATGAAAAAGGACAGCACTTCATTTGTCATTGTATCCCTCCCAGTGGCTAGTGCAGTGCGTGGTACAAAGAAGATGCTCATTAAATGTTTGTTAAAGCAGAGATTATATGACCTATTCCCTTTTTTCCCAAGCTGCTCCAACAAAATTAAAATACAGCCTCCTTCCCTCTCCCCCAAATCTTTTGTTATTTAACTTTTCTTAGAAGTTGTGTTATTTTTATAGTATTATATGAAACTCTTGACCATGTGACTTAACTCACTAATTAAATACCTAAATAATAAATGGTGAATAATATATATATATTTTTAGGCAATCGTCTTTTAACTGGTTCTAGCTGTTTGCAACTGTGGTCCAATGCTAACTTGGAGAAACCATCTGAAGATGAAAATCCAGATAAAACAGATCTTAATTTGGGGGACTGGAGATGCATTTGGCATTGCAAGTAAGCAATTAATTAGGGGATTAAAGTGACAAACCTGTTCCTGGTGGGTTTTATTATAAATGCCTTTTAGTTTGTGTAAAACTACACTAACATGGAAGTATTAATTTTTTATTCTGTGATAGGCCTTTTCTTATATACAGAGGATGCACTGTTTCCCATGTTCTACAGATCCAATTTTTTTAATTGTTGAATAAAACACCTGGAAGGATACATAAGAAACTTGTTAAGCCTGTATGATTATCATTAAATAGAAACTTGCTGAATTACACAAAAGGAGACAGAGACACTTTCCATGCTTTTGACTAGAAGTTTTTCTTTTGTGAAGAAGTGTATTTTTCCCGTTACTTTATAGATTGAACATAATCCTTGTCAAAATTCCATTGGAATTTCTACTTTTGAGCGTGGTTTTAAATTTCTTTTAAAAGGTTAAATATGGGAAAATCAGGGAAACTGAAAGAAAGAAAAAAATGAAGATAGCATAGTAAAATGAATTCTAAAGCTAGAGCTGGTCAAGCAGTTTGTTCTTGATGTAGGAACAGATTAGGGTCCGGGATTAGACACAGTTACACAGGGAGATTCCATATATAAGGTGTCATTTTACATCATGGGGCAAACTTGGTATCTCTGTGGAGAAGAAAATGAAATTAGAGTCTCTTTCATACCTGACACCACAATAAGTGTCAAAAGAAGGAAACATTGAATTTCTATACAATGAAACAAATAACTAGGAGAAAATACAGGTAAATTTTCGTAATTTAGAATTGCAGTGTCCATCATGGTAGCAACTAGTGACATACCACTTTTGAGCACTTGAAATGTGGCCGGTCTGAATTAAGATGTGCCATAGTATACAACACACACTGGGTTTCAAAAACTTAACACAAAGGAAAACAATTTAAAATATAGTTATTTTTTTGATTATATGTTGAAATGGTAATATTTTTGATATATTAGCTTAAGTAAAATAATTTATTATTTTTTTAAGATTTTATTTATTTGAGAGAGAGTGATCGAGAGAGGCGAGCGTGCGCAAGAGCGGTGGGAGGGGCAGAGCGAGAGGGAGAAGCAGGCTCCCTCACTGAGCACAGGCTCTGGGCTGGATCCCCAGGACCCCAGGATCATGACCTGAGCCGGAGGCAGACGCTTAACCAATTGAGCCACCCAGGCTCCCCTTAAATAAAATAATTTCACCTGTTTCTTTTTACTTTTTAAAAATGTGGCTACTAGGAAATTTAACATTTGGTTTATGTTCTATCACTACTGCATGAAAAATGCTGCCTTAGATTAGGGAAAGACTTTCTAGGTACAATGCCAGAACTAGAAACTGAAAGGAAGGGAAAGGAAAACATCAATAGTTGTGACCATATCAATAAAAATTTCTGTAAAGCAGGGAAACTAAAAAGTTGGGAAATATTTGCAATTTGGAGTTCATGCCTTTTTTAAAAGGAGGTCTTAAAAATTAACTAGAAAAAAAACATGGTAAACAAAAATGGACAATGAAGAGAAAAATTGTAAATGATAGTACATATGAATAATAGCAAATTAAGAGTTGATGGACCTCACTCAAAATCAAGAAGTGCAAAATATCCAGAAATAATAGGATGAATAATATCCATTATTAGTGAGTGAGGTACTTTTATATTCTGTTAATAAGGGAATGCAATTGGTATTTTTCTGTAGAGCAATTTGGAAGTATGAATCAACAGACTTAATTTTTTTTTATACCCTTGAGTTACTAACTCCAAGATTCATTCGTTCATGCAGCAAATATTTGCTGAATGTTTATCATGTTTCAGGCAGTGGTAAAAGTGCTTAGAATATAGCATTGACCAGGCAGGGATAGAGAGACTATAAACCAGTAAACCTGTATGACAATGTTAAATGCCATTCTTCCTGAGTCAGTTTTATATGAAACAGTAAAAAAATACATCGGATACCAAAGTGAGAGTAGGGCAGACCTGGTAGAGAGTTTAGAAAGGAGGTTTCAGAGCAGCCGGTTCCATGTATTTTGCATCTCTCAGCTAGATCATATGGGTTTTAAAAAGGGTTAACATATAGAGAGGGAATAGGATTTTGCAAAGAAAATTCTTAGCAAGAGTTGTCTTTGCTCTGGAGCCTTTCGTGTAAGCTTGTAGAGAGGAAGCAGCAAAGTGTTATATAGCCTTCACCGCAGGGCTTCTGGGCAAACTGAGAATTTGAAATGTGTTTCATGCATTTGGGAGAGGGGAAGAATCTTAAGTTAAATCAAGATCAGAGTCCACAGTAGTAACTTGGACTAGACATACTATTTATTTGAGATGGTTAATTAAGCAGAAAAGCCATGGCCCTCTGGTTTCAGTTTAGGAGCAGCTGATGATTACACTAATCGGAACACATTTAAACATCGGGTTTGATCACATTCCTGTTGTGATGCTTAAAACACTTTCTGTATATGTTAGATGAAGATCAGTAGTATGCTAGAGAAAAGTAAGTACGGTAAGGGGAAGAAGAGTAGAGGTGACTTCTGAGTGTAGACTTGAAGGAAGTGAGGGAGCAAGCCATGTGCAGGGATCTCTGGGAGAAGGATGTTGTAAGCAGAAGGAACCTCAAGCACAGACTCTCCCGTCAGGGTGTGCACGGTGTGTGTAGCTTGTGGCTGGAGTAAAGGTCGCTGAGAGGTTATTGTGAAGCGTTTGCCTTTTATTCCGAGTTGGGAAGCTTTTGAGGATTTTGAGCTGAGGGAGCACTGAGGACTGATTTCCCCTTTAAAAGGATCTGCCTTAGCTGCTGTTTTGAGAAGACCTGGAGACAGAGGTCACGGTCATGGAAAGGATTGTCATGGAGATCAGGCACTTCTAAGTATTTGTTTTAAGAATATCCTTAGAATTGGGGCGCCTGGGTGGCTCAGTTGGTTAAGCGACTGCCTTCGGCTCAGGTCATGATCCTGGAGTCCCGGGATCGAGCCCCGCATCGGGCTCCCTGCTCGGCAGGGAGTCTGCTTCTCCCTCTGACCCTCCCCCGTCTCATGCTCGCTCTCTCTATCTCATTCTCTCTCTCAAATAAATAAATAAAATCTTAAAAAAAAAAAAGAATATCCTTAGAATTAAGCAGATGCATAAAAATGCATATACAAGGATGTTCACCGCACCACTTTTTTTGTAGCAGCAAAAATGAGAAAATAGCAGTGAGTAGTTAAATTATTTTAAGGCATTGCATATATCTGTAATGGAATAGCATAGCCAGTAAAATAATACAGACCCAGATACTTGATATGCAAACATGTTCGTTACATACTTTAAAATAAATATTACAAAGCAAATTGTAAATATGACCTCGCTTTCCGTCCCCTCTTCCCCTATATTCTACTACAGAAAGTAGATAGAGAAGGGAGGGTGGAGAGCCGGGTCTGGAAGTCTGTGTGTTAAAATGTTAGCAGTGGTTTTGCCTGGGAGTGGGTGTTGTGGTGTAGGTGAAACTGATGATTTCATTTTCTTCTTTTCATACCTTTGTATCGATATTTTCTATTACATATTTATTGCATTTAAAATCAAGAAGATAAGTTATTTTTTTAATTAGTTGCAGAGGTAGAGTTTAGTGATTCATCAGTTGCCTGTAACACCCAGTGCTCATTCCATCAAGTGCCCTCCTTAATGCCCATCCCCCAGTTATCCCATCCCCCGACCCATCTCTCCTCCAGCAGCCCTCAGTTTGTTTCCTAGAAGTTATTTTAATTTGGAATGAACTGTGACAGAATTCCTCTTTGGCCTCCTTTACAAATAAATTTAAAACGAATTTATCTAAGCACGAAATGGAAAGCAGCGATAGTGTAGGTGGTCTTGAGATCAGCATATACGGGTAGCCAGATAGGAAGGCAATGAAGGGACAAGAGCCAAAGCTCCTTGAAGAAGAAAAAGGCAAGTGTGCACCAAGTGTATAGGTCAAGCTGACAGGCTGACTCCAGCCTGCTGGCAAGTCCCCCAGTAACCCACACATAATCCTTAATTAGGTAAATGCTACCTTAAGGGAGAATTCATTTCAAAATCTTGATTTATTGTCCATGAAAATGTATGTTAGAGTATAGATATCTCAGGGCTTTGGAAATTAGATTTCCAAACTGAAAAATGAAACCTTTCTCTTTCTCATATTCTAAGGCAATGAGAGCTATGATTCTTTGTTACCTAAGCTTTAAAGACTGATGATACCAGTCATTCTTGCATGATTCTTATACATAGATAATTTCACATAAAAATAATTTTTATATCTAACTTAAACATTTACACTTTTCATTGTATATTTAGAGATATACTTAAAATTGAATTTGAAACTTGTTATCACAAAATTTTCCATTATTTGAAGCAAGTTGCTGAACATAGTTTATAGAAGTAATATTGAATTCTCTCTGATTTTCCTTAAAAATTATTTCTTACCTGTTTGATTTACAGAACTGCTTCCCAAATTCATTTAATGAAATTTTCACCAGATGGAGAATTTTTTGCCACTGCTGGGAAGGTAATTTGTGAAAATGCTGTTGCTGTTGGTTTATTTTGACACATCAAAAACATGAATTGGCTTCATTCTTTTAATTTATCTACATTGAAAATATTTTCTATTAAAATGTTAAATAGCAAAAATTGGCTAAATATTATTGTGTTAAAAGGCAATATGGTATAATTGAAACATAGACTTAAAGGTATATCTGGATATAAATCTGCCATTTACCAGCTTTTTGATTTTGGTCAAGTGGTTAATCTTTTTGAGCAAATATAAGAATTTACAGACTTTCTAGGAGGACATTTGTAACCATTTTCATGTTTTTACCTGCTGATGTCAGAACAGTATATTTCCTTGAAATTATTTATTTGTAGTCATTGGTTCACCAAATGGCTCACTTACAACTGATTGAATGAAGTTAGTTGTTCTCATGGATCGTTAGTTGTTCTCATGGATCGTAGCTTTTTGTAGAGGGAGGATGTGAGATACCCTAAATCCTCAGGGAGGTTTTTGTTAGGAGAGAAGATTGACGTTAAGCATGGGAATGCAATTATAGCTTAAAAGCAGAACCTGGTACATTCTAGTCCCCTTGTTTTCCCTCACTCCCCAAATTAAGAGATGCCGTTTTAATTATACTTAGAATATTTTTATTATATTATTTTTATTATTTTATATTTTAATTATTATTTAATTATACTTAGAATGTTTTATATAGTAGTAGCTATTAACTCGTTATTATCATCTTCAACATTTTCTTTGAACATTCATTTGTTACTTCATGAAAACTCTTGTTTTCAAAGATTAGCAGTCTTCATAAGGCTGCTGGTGGTAATGCTTTCTTGTTTGATATTTGGCTAAGTGGGAAGACGAACCCTTCATCTATCAGTCTTCTCAGTGATTCCATTTAGATACTGTATGGTAACTAGCATTTTCCTTGATCCGTTCCTTGCAAAGTATACACTCACACACTTTAATTCTCAAAGCACAATTATGGAATGCTGATAGAAAAGTATCAGAATTAGAGATTTTCTTCTCATTTCCTCCGTGCCCCACCATTCCTCCCATCCCTAAATTTCTGTGATTGCGGAGAAAATTCTTACCTTTGCTGTTGGACAATCTTTAATTTAATTCTGATGTGGATATTTTTCTTTTTTTTTTTTATTAGGATGACTGTCTTTTAAAGGTATGGTATAATGTAGAAAACTGGCGGACAGCTGTTACCTCTCCGGATAAAAGTTCAGAAAAACAATCCCAAGGAGAAATGGACTTTTCCTTTGTATATCTGGCCCATCCTCGAGCTGTAAATGGATTTTCCTGGCGTAAAACAAGCAAATACATGCCTAGGTCAGCGATTTAGTCATTTTGTCTGTGTATTAAGAGAATGTCATTTTGACATTGACTGCTCTTCTCACTTTAAATAGCTATAGGACTTTTGCCTCTGAAGATTTTAGTAATATTAGATAGTCCTTGGCCTGCAGATGTCTAGCCATGGGTCAGCTACGATTGACACCTCAGAGGAGAGCCATGTGAAAGGATACTTTACCTCCATCTTAGATGTCTTTAAGTGACAGAGTTGTACATCTTTCCTTCTCTTTGTTAGGTGTCCTATTCTTTCGTCTCTTAGTCATTCCCCATATTGCCATTTGTGTGGAATTTTTCATATTTCACTCCCTAATCTGGTACCTTCTCTGTATCTCCTCTGGTTTCCTTTTTGTTTTTAACCACTTTATTGAGAGGATATACTGTGAGGCCTCAAACATTTCTCTAACTGTATCCAACATCTTTGTGGAAAAGAGAGTGTGGTAATAGATTACTATGCCCTGAACTAGGTATTAGTTTAACCTATATGTGCATGTGCATGCGCACCTGTCAATACCTCCTTTCTTTCCTGTGACCCTTGCAAGACCTGCTATCCCATTGAATTTTTGCCTATACTTAGTAAGGCACAGAGACCTGTTTCTTAAGTGTAGGTAGAAATTGCTTTTTGTTTCATGGCCATTTTCAATTTGGCCACACCATGGAGCAGTACGGTTTTTCCCTTAACCTTTTGTCACTGATATTTAGTAGGACAGCTGGGTCATTTGTTGACTTTAGTTTTGCTCTTTTGAGCCAGCAGAGTATATCCAAATTTTTTTACAAAATGTGTATTAAGACTGATTTTTAAAGAATAGTTTAAGGTTCACAGCAAAATTGAGGGCAAGGTAGAGATTTCCCATATATCCCTTGCACTAACACATGCATAGGTAGCCTCCCCCAGAGTGGTATATTTGTTATCATTGACGAACCTGCATCAACACATTAGCACCTAAAAGTCCATAGTTTAGATTATGGTTTGTTCTTGGTGTTGTACACTGTATGGGCTTAGACAGATGTAGAATGACATGTTTCCATCCTTGTTACCTGATTTTTTTTGAGTTTTTTCTAGTTCCATAGGTACTATTCTTCCTACCCCAGCCTACCAGTCCAATAAAGCATAGGAGTAGGACACTGTAGGAACAGTAATGGTTCTGTTGTTAGGAGGATGTGCCCGAATTTGGGCTAAGGGAGAGTGGTGTGGACAATCTATTGTTAGCAAAAGCCTGCTTCACTTTGAGAACGATTGCTCCAGTACCCCTGAGATCATTGCCCACATATATAAAAATCTGTTTAGAATATAATGAGCTGTGGCATATGTTAATTCTCCTTTTAAAAGTTGTAAATGGCCCCAATAAAAGTAACTGTCATCGCAAACCATGAAGATTACATTATTTCAGAGGCTGATTTCTTCTGATACAGGCAAGTGTTTTCATTGCACATGGTTAGACCACAAGAGTGCTAAAAAAGAGACTTATGAAGTATTGTATCTTTTGAGAGAGGACAGTCACATCTGTTACTGACCTAGTTCACGCAGGATTGGTACAGGTGATCACAGTGGAGGCAGAAGTAGATGCCTTACACTGGGCGGTTACAAATTGCCTGATAACACCAGTGAGACGTACCAGTTCTGTTCCTGGCTGTGTTCATTTTATCTCTGCCAACTAAGTTCTGCAGCATAAGGAACTGTGGTATAGAACTAGAATTTTCTGTTTGATAGAGTATCTTGTAGAGGTCTCAAGAATTTTACTTTTGGTCCATGTCCTTTAAGAACCAGCTGATCTCGGGGCGCCTGGGTGGCTCAGTTGTTAAGCGTGTTAAGCGTCTGCCTTCGGCTTAGGTCATGATCCCAGGGTCCTGGGATCGAGTCCCACATCGGGCTCCCCGCTCTGCGGGAAGCCTGCTTCTCACTCTCCCACTCCCCCTGCTTGTGTTCCCTCTCTCGCTGTGTCTCTGTCAAATAAATAAATAAAATCTTTTAAAAAGAACCAGCTAATCTCCCCGAGCTCTTCTAGGTTTCATTTTTGCTTTACCAGCTGCCCGCAGGTATATGGTGGGAAGGCTGACCCTTTCTCATGAGAATGACAGAGATCCTGTCAAAATCAAAAACCATTGCTCTTTCTGATACGGCGTTTTCACTGGGCTTACAGGTGCTTTGTTTTTCGCATGAAATTAAGATACTTAGCCAAATGGTAATACTTGGTGCAAGGTACCACTGCTCGAGAGAGAAGAATGGGGAAGTGTTTGTAATGAGCATATACTTCTTCACTAAACACTGATGAATGTAGGATAAATTGGGAGGTTTGTTATACCCTCCCCAAAACATCCAAAAAGTTAGTTCTAGACGGCTAGTTTCAAAACCATCTTAGCCTGTTACATCAAGATAGGACAGGTGTTGCACACTTAGACCATCACCTGGTTGTCTTTCATAGGGTTATAGCTTTCTTTTGAGGGAGGGAACAGTTATACCTAAATATGATATGCCATTGAAGACAAAATCAGGTACGCTGATAAGGAAGGAAGGGAGGTATTGCCAGAGAAATGCCTCAGACAGAGCAGGGTATTTCTTCCCTGCTCTCCTTAAATTACCTGGGAGCTGCTTGTACTGATTTTAAGTATCCTGAGGGGAGTCACCTGGGGCTGCCCTCACTCCCAGGTCAGAGCCCTCTCCAGGCTTCCACGTTGTGCTGCTTTCTTGCTTGTTTTGTTGCTTTTGCCTCTTCTGATTGCTGTCTATTCATTCCTTCAGTCTACTACCTTCTGCCCTTCCTTCATAAGCCTGTCCTTTCTGCCAGTTACAGATGGGCACCGTGAACCTTCAGCTTTCCATATTGCCTTTTGATGTATTTTCTTCTTTTTCTGATTGCCTACTTTTAATCTCCTGTCACCTCCTGTGTGTATGTGAATGTGCTAGAGAGATGCGGAGAGAAGGCAGGAGGTAGGAAGTCAGAAGGGGACAGAGAAAAAGTGAAGACAGAGGGAAAGACATGAGGGTAGGGAAAGGAGGGAGAAACAGGATTGAGAAAGGAAAGGAGGAGAAGGGGCCCTAGCATGTGGGGAGAGGTGGAAAGGGAGAGTGGCCTGGAGAGGCTGAGAAACAGCACTTGGGGGGAGAGCACAGAGGGAGGGAGGCTCAGAGAGTGAATGGGAAGGGAAGAAAGTCAGGAGAGAGGCAGAGGAAGGGGTGAGGAAGGGAGAGGTGAGAGCAGAGGAGGGAAGCTGAAGGGGAGAGCAACCCACACAAAACATGCTGGTTTCCTTTTTCTTCCCCTTTGTTAGAGATCTTTTTTTAATCAAGCAGATATGTTTAACAAAGTGACTACTACAGAATATTTTTATTTCCTTTTTATTTTTAACTTACTGAGTTATTTGATAGAAGCCTTGTACTGATTGTTCTTTTTAAATCTGATATGTTTGAATATGTGTCTACTATGGGATATTGTGACTTCTTTTTCTTTCTTTCCTTTTTTTTTTTTTTGATGAGTTACCCAATAAAAGGTAGTCTTTGTTGATGGGGATTCAACCTTTGAGCTCCTGATGCTTATGGGTTTTATTAATATGTATGTAATTGATCTTGCTTTTATTTTGTGACTGGAAAGACTGAATTCACTAGAAGTCAAGAATAAGGAAGGAGGTGGCTAGTAATTATTTTATCATGATTTTTCTATTCATGTAATCACTGCTTTTTGCAAATGTTAAGCAAGGAGAGAATAAGTGTACTAAATAGTGTAACTTGTTACTGACTAGTGTGCGTGTAGCTTTACAGAAAGTAAAAACGAAGCATTATGAAGAAATCCGAATGGTAACCATCCACTGAGTAAATCAGAATATTTTAAAAGAAGATGTAGGTTTTTTCCTTGCTTATTAACTGAAGGATTTTGGCATTGTTTCAGTCTTTGCTCTTTGGCTGTAAGAAGAATCTTAGATTCTTAAAATAAGAACTACCAAATTCTAGGCAGAAAAGAAATGGGTTAGCAGGTATTTGCTGTGATGAAATCAAATACCCACTCAATTTTAATGGTTTTGACTAAATACATTGCATAAATGTATATGGACATTTTCGTCATCGGTACCTTTGTTGTGGGCATTTAATTAATTACAGAAGCACTGTAGAATGTTATATTGTGTGAGATTTATATTTTTGCCTCTAAAATCTTTTTATTCCTCAGGGCTTCTGTATGTAATGTATTGTTGACTTGCTGCAAAGATAATGTATGTCGTCTTTGGGTAGAGACATTTTTACCAAATGATTGTTTGCTCTATGGAGGTGACTGCAACCATTGGGCGGAACCAATTAATTTAACAAATAACTTCAGAAGAAATGCTTCCAGTAAAGAACGAGTTCAAAATGCTTTAGATGTAAGTGTTTTTGTTAGATGTTATTTCCTACAAGTTTTAAAACGTTTTGTACATTGCCTATTTTGTAACATTCATCCTAATTAATATTCAAAATTATATGGTTAGTTATGAAAAAATATATATTAGAAAAACAATTCTCAGAAAACTTTCTATTTTATTTGGTTCAAAAAATATGCTGAAGTATTTCAGAGCATAAAACTACTTATAATTATGAAGTTAATCTTAGGTTAACTGATGGTAACAAAAGGAAGATTACACTTAGCTAAAATAACAAATGAAAATCTGAAAATGCAAAGATTTGACTGTAAAAATAATTTATATTTTTACTTTGTTTAGAGGTTGGGGTGTTTTGTCCTGTCATAATTACAGGAATGATTTGAATAGTTTTATCAGATTCTGTTCTAGATTTGTTATCTTTAGAACCTTCTGGAACTTGAAGTTTTTTGTTTTGTTTGTTTTTTGTGGGTTTTTTATTTTTGTTTTTGTTTTGTTTTTGAGAGAGCGAGAGGGTATGGTGGGGCAGGGTGCAGAGGGAGAGGGAGAGAGAGAATCCTCAGCAGGCTCCATGCCCAGCATGGAGCCCGACCAGGGGCTCAATCTCATGACCCTGAGATAATGACCTGAGCTGAAATCAAGAGTCTGACACTCAACTGACTGAGCCACGCAGGTGCCCCTTGAAGTATTTATTTTACTGATTAGTGTAGAAAGTAAAAGTAAATTTTTGATGTTTAGATTAATTGAACATACACCAATAATACAGATTCTTATTTTCTTGATATGGAAAACAGAAAGTGATCTAAAAGTGATTTGTCTTTGAATGCTTTGTATGATTATGGAAAAACTATTTGTCAAATTTGGAGAGTATTCTCAGGGCTCAGAATATAATTAAATATATATTGCCTGGAGAGTTACAACTGATAAAATGGTTATGTGTAATAATAGCTGAAAGAGGTTCTTGACTAGGAATGAAGACTCTCATTCTGTGTTTAGGTGACCTTGTGTTCTGTAGAAACTATTTTATCATATGAAAGATGAGAATAAACAAATATCAGCACTCTGGCTTATGGGTCAAATGAAGTGATCTCTGTGAAAAAGCTTCACGAATCAGCCATGATACTTGAAATATCATCTTAATGTATGATGTCAATATTGTTCAGTGCTTTATCGTCATAAGGAGTAAACTGGACACAAAGGAGACAGTATGCATAGAGACATCATTATCCACAGACACATTGTTGTGAACTTTTGTTTTATGAAATTAATTATCAGAAAAATAAACCAAATAAAAATTGCGAAGTATTGTGTGATGGTTGAAAGAAGTTAGGCAGTTTAGGTCTAAGCTTATTCTTCAGATTTCAGATTTCCTGCACAAAAGTACTGAAAGATGTTTGTATATATAAACTCATCTGAAATAGAGTATATATGAAATAAGTCAGAGTAAGGCAGATACCATATGCTTTCACTCATATGTGGAATTTAAGAAACAAAAGAAATGAACAAAGAAAAAAAGAGACAAAAAAACTGAAGAGATGGTTACCAGAGGGTGGGGGGATGGGTGAAATAGGTGATGGGGATTAAGAGCACACTGAACCATGATGAGCACTGAATAATGTATAGAATTGTGGAATCACTATATTGTATGCCTCAAACTAATGTAATGCTGTTAATTATACTAGAATTAAAAATGAGCTAATTAAAATGGAAAAATGAAGTAGAGAATAATGTCTGAAAATCATTTTGTAGCCCATATATATATGTTTATATATATATGCTTATGACATTATAGCCACTGGTGTTACTTTGTGTTTATTGGTACAGGTAAATCTGAGACATTTTCGCAGAGGTCGGAGGAGATCACTTGCTGTTGTAGCGCATACCGGATACCTGCCACACCAGGAGGACCCTCATCATGTCCACAGAAATGCTCCACTGCATGCCAACGCACTTTGCCACTTTCATATTGCCGCCAGCATCAACCCAGCCACGGGTAATAGAACACTGTTCAACAACTGTTCTTGGACTTGAGTAAATTAATTTTATAACAGAGACATTTTACTTCTAGTTTTGAATAAGTAAAAAATTGAAGGTAACTTACTTATCTAACTTTTCATTATAGCCAGCCAGCTCACTGATTACTTAAACATAGGTTTTTGTTTACTTGTTTGCTTTTTAAAGCTATGATTTGGTTTCTGATTAAGATCTTAATAAGTCATTTGAGATTCTTAGTTTATTCAAAAGTTGAGATTTGAGCTAATACTTCACAGGTTAACACCATAAAATAGTATTTTGTTAACTATTGTATAGTTCTTAAAATAAAACCGTTGTGTAGGGACGCCTGGGTGGCTCAGTCAGTTAAGCGGCTGCCTTCGGCTCAGGTCATGATCCTGGGGTCCTGGGATCGAGCCCCGCATCAGGCTCCTTGCTCAGCGGGGAGCCTGCTTCTCCCTCTGCCACTCCCCCTGCTTGTGCTCTCTCTTTCTCTGGCAAATAAATAAATAAAATCTTTAAAAAATAAATAAAACCATTGTGTCTAATGCTTGATCTTAGGTGGTCTTCCAGAAATAAGGCAGAAATATGTAGAAGTTATAACTGGAAGAATTAAGAAACTTACCTCAGTAGTCAAATAATGTACTATTAGATTTAAAAAATCTAGAATATCTGGATCTATCTATGAATTTGAAGATTTAAAGTGCTCATCTTTCAGTAAATGTTTTCTGTGAGTTTAAAAAAACAGGTGGTCAGATTTGGGGTAAAGAGGAACCTTAGAGTATTACTGGGAAAAAGATTAAGAACAGTATTTGCACATGATAAATAACCATCTGTACAGAAAGTGGAAAGTGAAAGCCTCTTTTCACCTCTGCCCGACCCTAGTTGTTCTCCGCTGAGATAACCACTATTGAGTTTTTGTATATTTGGAGATACTCTTACGCATGAAGTAAGCATAACCTATTTTTTTTACTCCATTTCTTTATTTTTTTAAATTTATTTTTTATTTAAATTCAATTAACATACAGTGTATTATTAGTTTCAGAGGTAGAGTTCAGTGATTCATCAGTCTTATATAATACCCAGTACTCATTGCATCACGTGCCCTCCTTAATATTCATCACCCAGTTATCCCATCCCCCCATCCCTCTCCCCTGTAGCAACCCTCAGTTTGTTTCCTATTGTTAAGAGTATCTTACGGTTTTTCTCCCTGGGTTTGCAGTACTATTACATTCTTCAAGGAAACAGCAATAAATGTGGTTCATTAGTTACCTGAATCAAAGAGAGAAATGTTTTGGTAAGTTAAGGGTAGAGATACTTCCACTAGGAATAAAAAGTGCTTGCTAATTTTCTTGGCTTTTATTTGGTTAACAACAGTCCCAGCTCTAAAAGAATCCATGAGCCAAGAAAATGAAAGGGGATGATATTGAACTGTTTTTAGGAAAACCTTATATAAGCTTGGGAAATACCCTTACCTTTATCAAAAAACATACACTGGCAAGTGCTTGTAATACCCAGAGGCAGCTCTGAGACTACTGGTGTTGTTGTGAAAGTCTCTTCTGAATAAAGGACAACATTTTGAGAATAAAGAAAGCTTGGTTTCTTACCTTTAGTGGAAAAGGCCGAGGGGTTACAGAAAAATAAACCCTGAGTTCCAATGTAGCATCTCCCTGACGACCTTCCAATAAGGAAAACTCTAAAATCTTTCTTTAGCTAATAGGACCTTAAGGAAAATCCATATACGTAGAACAAATCAAAGCAGAATAATATCAGTAGCAGACACTGTGGAGATCTCCTTTCCCTAAGTTAGACCTTTAGGAATGACCTTTCTGGATGCTGTGTCTCTTGTTCAAGGCCAAACTTTCAGATAGAGCTTCACTTATTTGCCCATCAATAGAAATAGAGGAGAGGAGCTCCTAAGAGCATGTTCTTTTAATTCTAGTTCTTATACCCTTTCCCTGAAGATCTCTCATAAAAAATGGCTTTAATAAAATTCCTTGAGGTCAGAAGATAGAAGAAATTTAAGGTTCCTTTTACAGAGAATGCTGCTGCTAAAAACCTGCATTAACCTCGCCTCTCCTTCTTGCGTATTGAACATGTAGGCCTGTGGTCTCTTAGAGGCATCGCTGATCTTTTTTGTGTTGAATGTAACTTGAAAATCAGAACATCATACTGAATAGGATTCTTGAGGGCACTCTTTGGTTCCCTGGCACTAATGTATATCCACCTAGGGATAATAGGATTGGCAGTACGGTCCCTCAGGACTTTTACTGAGTGTTTGGTCTGTGCCAACCAAATAGCAACTAGAGATAGTGGTAGGAACTGAAGGTATAGTGGTGTTGGAAACTGGTGTGATCCTTGCTCTCCTGAAGCCTATTGTTAGGAAGGGGATAGATAAATACTAATCAAATAATTACAGTAATGAATGTGCATTTATAAACAGAGCTCGGATTGGATTGGATATATCTATCAACTCTTAGAACTTGCCTCCAACAGAAGGGATAGGGGAAAGGTTCTTTTATGCTTTCCTTTATCATCCATCCCCTATAATACTGTTTTTCATTGGTGTCTAACAATTGATACCTTGTTCGAACAAGTAATTAAGTCAAATTATTTCTCTTCTCCTTTAAAAACAAAAATCAATAAATTTGTTTGTGGAAAATAGTTTACCTTCCCTGAATCCATTTTAGCCTTTACTGTTCAGCAGATACCAGCATGATCTAGTTTATATTTGATTTAATATGATAGACAAACTTTTTTTCACCTCTCTATTAGTTAGGGATTATCATTTGTCACAATTTACTCTGAATTTATACTTTAGTATACTTAATTTAGCAATTAGATGAAAAATAATACCAAGAAAGAATTTTTTTTTTTACCTGGTTTTGTCTTGAATGCCTTTCTTCAGTGTAAGATGGGGATCTCAGTTCCTACTTTCCAACTTGAATCTTGATGCTAATAAATTGGCATTATCTAGCTTAGAGTTAGGTAGGTCATTTAAAAATTTAAGTTAAAAAGTCGTTAAAATAGAGGTAAATAAGTCACATTCCTTTACATATTGATGGCATTTTTCTTGGAGAAATTTTTAAGGAGACTTTCCTCTTAACATGTCTACAAATTACAGATTTATTTCTTAATGAGAATATTTTTTGAAATAAAGAAAATCTCTGTATATGTATATATAGATAAATTACAGTCTGTGACCTAGAATATAGAATTGTTTTCCTTTATAATAGTTATGTTAAATTTACCATTTTAAAAGCTGTTATGGCAAACATTGTATTGGGAATCTTACTTAAAATCTAGTTTAGAGGTTTAAAAATAAATGTAACAGTGGTAAAAATAGGAGACGTGTACGTTCTGATTGCTGGAATGATCAAAATATTAATTGTGTGTTATGTGTTTTGTTGTTGTTCTTAACAGACATTCCACTTCTCCCTTCTATCACATCTCTAAGTCTAAGTGAAAATAATGAGAAGAGCGGGCCTTTTGTGGTACACTGGCTGAACAATAAAGAGTTGCATTTTACTTTGTCCATGGAAGTCTTTTTACAGCAACTCAGAAAAAGTTTTGAACAACCATCTTCTGAGGCCAGTGTAGAAGACTCTAATCAGGCAGATGTAAAATCTGATGAAGGTAAGGCTTTAAGAAGGATAAAAAAATGTTAAGTTTTATTGACAATAGCTAAGATTTTTATATTGGCGTAAGACTAGCTACTAGCTTCGGAAACTCAAGATTGCAGTGGCTTAATACAACTTTGGACTAGCTCAGTTAATAATCCAGTGTTGGTGTTCCTGTTCCCGGTGGCTTGCTTTTACTGGTTGATGCAGGCTCAGGATTCTCCATGCCTATGCTTCCGTCAGCCCCTAAGGCCTTGCTACTTGAAGGACTATCTGTGGCCTAGTAGCATTATTACCTGGGAGCTTGTTAGAAATTACCTATGTATTGAAGGAAATCTGGAAATTGGACACTGTAAATGTATTCCTTTAAAATAGTTTCTTTAAGGTGTCATATCAGTTATAAGTGCAAGTACCTAGAGCATCTCTAGTGTAGCTGACTCAGGTTTTAAAAAATCCAATAATGTGAAGAAAGTACAAATTACACTCCAATAATATATTTGAATAATTCACCCCAGAATTATAAACCCAATTCTGCCTTCTTCATTGAGAAAAACTAAGGTCCAGGGAAGTAGTATGTTTTACTTCTGAGTAAATTGTGGTACAACCAGTGTACCTATTCTCCAGTCCAGTAATTGTCCTCTACCATTAATCCACTGACTCAGTCCTATAGGCCGTCTGACTGCTGAGTTAACTCTAATGGCCTTATATCCCTGGAGCGAAGTTATTTTTAAAGGGGAGCCAATTTCTTGTTTATTTGAAAGCTATTATGTTTTTCATCTTGAATGCATTTACAAAGATCTTTCTTAATAGCTTGATTGTATTTACTTGGTTCATGAATTCTTTTGCTTATAGAAATGGATGATGGTGTGGATGATCTGAAAATAAATCATGAAAAGAAGGAATTGGGCAGTGATAAAATGGTACCAAATTCAAGTTTTGTACCGTTACCATCAGCTGCCATTGATCATCAGATTGAAGTACTTCTGTCTGAATGGAGTAAAAATGCAGACATGCTATTCAGTATTCATCCCATGGATGGCTCTTTGCTAGTTTGGCATGTGGATTGGCTGGACGAATACCAGCCTGGTATGTTTCGTCAAGTCCAGGTACTATTATTATGATCTCGGGAGAGCTGCTTCTTATTAAATGTGGGTACAGTTTTGTAATACTTCTTTGTATTATTTCATATGTTCTAATGCTTACTTTCTTAATTCTAGGTGTCCTTTGTTTCCAGAATTCCTGTAGCTTTTCCCACAGGTGATGCGAACTCTCTCTGTAAAAGCATAGTGATGTATGCCTGCACCAAGAATGTTGACTTGGCTATTCAGCAAGGGAAACAGAAACCTTCTAGCCTCACACGGTCTACATCAATGCTTATCTCTTCCGGCCACAGTAAATCAACTAATAGTTTAAAATTAAGTATATTTACCCCTAATGTTATGATGATTTCAAAGCACGCTGATGGCTCTCTGAATCAGTGGCTGGTCAGTTTTGCTGAAGAATCTGCTTTTTCTACAGTTCTCAGTATTTCTCACAAATCTAGATACTGTGGTCATCGCTTTCATCTTAATGATTTAGCTTGCCACTCCGTATTACCATTATTGCTGACAACGTCACACCATAATGCACTAAGGACACCAGATGTTGATAACCAGAAGCAATCTTGTGATCCTGTAAATACTGAAGAATGTTCTTTGGCACAACAGAATAAAAGCAGCGTTGATGTGACATATCAGGATCCCAATGCAGTTTATAGTGAGCTTATTCTTTGGAGGGTTGATCCAGTTGGGCCATTGTCTTTTTCTGGAGGTGTTTCTGAGCTTGCCCGGATTAATTCTCTACATGTTTCTGCATTTTCCAATGTGGCATGGCTGCCCACTCTTATACCCAGTTACTGTCTAGGTAAGCTTTCTGATTTTTATTTAAGAAATTTAGATTTTCTGGTATCATCATTTCAGGGTTAAATTTTAAATGTTTGTGAATACTTTCTAGGTGCATACTGCAACTCTCCTAGTGCATGCTTTGTAGCAAGTGATGGGCAATATCTGAGATTATATGAAGCTGTTATTGATGCCAAGAAACTTCTGTATGAGCTTTCCAATCCTGAAATTTCTGTAAGTAAATAGCTTTTAAAATTAAGTGTATAGTATGAGGTTTTTAGATACTTAATTTATACTTTCTGGGCATGTTCTAGAATTGTGACCTATAATTTGTAATAAAAAGATGTATATTTTCTAGTTACTTTATTTTTTTCACATTTGCAATGTACCATTACAGCGATTTTTAGCTTCTTTAAAAAGAAACCATTTCTTTCATTCATTCCAAAAACAGAGTCTAGTGTCATACAATATATGTTTCTCTAATGCTTCTTTGCTCAAGGATAAATGAGGACTCCTGGCAGTATAAATGTGGAAGTTACGTTGGTTCATCTGCAGTTTTTTTCAAGGCAATGGGAGCTGGAGTAACAGCAGTAGAACTTTTATCTTGAGAATCAAGGAAGAAAAAAGCTCTCAGCTTGGTTGCAGTACAGTCAGGAGTCCTTGCAACACCATCGCAAAGCCTTTGTCTTGTGACGGGCGGCACTTCTTCCTGTGCACAGCTAATAGCAACCCACCGTCTGCATTGTCCTAGCACCTCCAGCAAGCTACTATCTCCACTCTTCGTCTTGGTGTTTTTAAATATCCCTTACCTTCAGCCATGCTGAGCTTCTTGTTCAGGGGATTCAAGCCATCTCCTCAGCTACCAGTTAATGTTTTTGTTAATGTTCTGGTTTTACAGCTGCACAAGTGTCAGTGGTCTGCCCCAATCCTATCTTTCCCTGAGTTATTTTTAATGTGTGTTTTTTTTCAGAATGCAAGGTTTTTCAAAAACACATATAATAGTGTTATAGTAGAAACATATATTTATTGAGGGCCTTCTATTTTTCAGGTAGTATTTAAGTGCTGGGAATTGAGATGTGAAGAGAACACACAAATCTGAGATTACATTCTAGTGAAAGGGGTATAGAAAAAAGGTAAAAATATATTAATAAATAGTATAGAGAGAAACCATGTTGTACAAGGGAATGCCAAGTAAGGTGCTGATCAGAAAAAGCCTCACAGGAACGGTACCTTTTGAGTAAGGACCTGCAGGAAATGAAGGATATGGATGTGGATATTTAGAGTATTTTAGGAAGAGAAACAGCCGGGCATGTTTGGTATATAAAGGAGCAGCAAGGAGGACATTGTGGCCGGGGCAGAGTAAGTGAGGTGAAGAGTAGTCAGGGATAAAGGTAGAAAATTAGCCTAGCCAAATCTTACAAGCCCTTCTGGGCCATTGTGGTAACTTTGGCTTTTACTGTGAATAACATAGAAACCATTGAAGACAATGCCAAATTGATATGCTCTCACTTAGGTTTTGAAAGGATCTCTGGCTGCTGAATAAATCAGACATGGGACGAGAAGTGGCTTCACAGTAGTCCGGGAGAGAATCAAGGGGCCATAGAGTGGTAGCAAGTGGTAGTGGTAAAGATGATAAAATTGGTCACATCTGGATGTGCTTTGAACATTGAATAGGCAGGATTGGACTGGATGTGGGGCTTGTATGAGAAGAAGAGGATGCTCCCTCATGTTTGTGTGTGAGCACAAGGAAGAATAGAACGACTGAGTGAAGCTGGGAAGAATGTCTAAGAGGCTGATTTTGAAGAGCAGGTGGATTTGAGAGCCTGGTGTTGAACATGTTAATTTCGAGATGACACCCAACAGACATAGTACGCTTGTCTGTAGTTTAGAGGGGGTCTGATCTGAAGGCATGAGATAAGTAGCTGTCAGAGTATGAATTCAAAGGTGTGGGGCTAGATGAGACCACAGAAGGAAAATAGAAGTGATAGGATTGAACCCTGGGGCATCCCACTGTTAAAAGTGGGGTGAATGTGGTACATAGTGGAAGGCAGTGAGGACAGTTATTTCAAGAAGGGAGTGATCACTAGAATCAAAGGCTGCTGCCCATAGACAAAGTGTGATGAAGACCGAATTTAACAATGTGACCTTGACTAAGAGCAGTCAGGACATAGGTAGCTTGAGAAATCAGCATACATAAATAGTGTAGCAACATGTTTCTTAAGTTCCATCTTTCTCACCTCAAAATTAATGCCTAAAAAGCATTGATTCTTAGAACATTTCTGTGACATTGAAGTCAGTCTTCCACATTTATGGATGTAAAATATTCTTCCCCCTAACAATTACCATGCCTTGCTTTTGTTCCTCTCTGCATCGACTGACCCATGACTCTTACTCATTCCTCTGTAATGAATAGTAAGGTAAAGTCCTCGAATGTTTATAATGAAAGCAACTTGTGAATTTATTTAGCCCTACTTGAACTTATTTATTATTTATCTACTATGAAATTTTATATTGTTTATTAATTATTTTTTAATTTAATTGTTTAATAAAGGAGATATCCACTTTTTTTAAAAACAGAAATATGTTGGTGAAGTGTTTAACATCGTAAGTCAGCAGTCAACAGCCAGGCCAGGATGCATTATCGCATTAGATCCCATTACCAAACTTGTAAGTATCATTTTTCTGGCCACTCAGCATTAGGTAAATAACATATATGTCAACTTATGTTGGTGTTTATTTACATTCAGCAAGGCAGAAAAACCCAGCTGCTTCATGTTTTTCAAGAAGATTTCATTTTGAATAACCTTGAGAAGAAAAGTCTGGGAAAAGACAGAATATTACCTGATGCAGGTAAAGAATAGTTTTTTTTATGTAATGAGAAATATTACGTAGAGTACATTAAACAGTAAATAAAGATAAGTTGATATAATGTTTCATATCATCTATGTGAACTTAAAATTTTCCTGTGTAGGTTTGTGATGTTATTTACCATATACATACCAGTAGTTTTTTATTCTTTGATTTTTCTTTTTTAAGATTTTTGATTATTTATTTATTTGAGAGAGAGGGAGAGCAGGAAAGAGAGAGCACGAGCAGGGGGAGCAGCAGGCAGAGGCAGAGGGAGAAGCAGGCTCCCCACTAAACACGGAACCCAATGCGGGGCTCGATCCCAGGATCCCGGGATCATGACCTGAGCCGAAGGCAGACGCTCAACTGACTGAGCCACCCAGGTGCCCGGTAGTTTTTTATTCTTAAACCAGGAAATAAACATGAAAAAATTAAAGGGGTTTGTCAATTATATTTTTTTAAAAGCATAATAGAGATGTTTTTTATTAGTAGTATGTGAGTACTCTTTGCATGGATATAGTCCTGCACTAACGTTAGGTTTGGATAATACAGATGCCTGACCTTTTAGAAATCTACAATTTAAAGCAGTAGCTTAAAACTTCAAGTTATAATTTAAAGACAAAAGTGTTTTAATTAATACTTTTATAGTTAAACGTTTAAAAAAATTAAACTCCTCCACTAAAAATTAACTGTTATTTTATATAGAGGAAAACAGAGCAAAATGAAGCTCAAATCTCTTGGTCATCAGTTTTTTTTTTTTTTAAACAGATTCTTTTTTTTTTTTTTTAAGATTTTATTTATTTATTTGAGAGAGAGAGAATGAGAGAGAATACATGAGAGGGGGGAGGGTCAGAGGGAGAAGCAGACTCCCCGCCAAGCAGGGAGCCCGATGTGGGACTCGATCCAGGGACTCCAGGATCATGACCTGAGCTGAAGGCAGTCGCCCAACCAACTGAGCCACCCAGGCGCCCTTGGTCATCAGTTTTAATTACAGAGCCAAACCAAACTGAGAAATGTCTTTCCTTAAAAATGAACCATACAGTTTGTGCCTGGTGCTTTTAAAAGTCCATTATTAATACTATTTTCACTCTGTATTTGTTCCAGATTATTTTTCTTACTTCTCTTGTACTCTTAATTCCATGTGTTTTTGGTTTTCTTTTCCTTTGAGGTTTGCACTGTTATGTTGAATGTTGAATTTCTTACCACTGTTTTCACTTAGTCATTTTCCCTGAGAATTTGTGAACTGTGCAAAACACAGTGTTTTGGTAAGCTCTGAATATAATGATGGAAAGATACTGAAAGTGGAAAATAAAAATGTCAGGTACAGGATAAAGGGCTATTTATATCAATAAAGTGTTCTTTATTTTTCCTTTTTTATATTGAAATATTAACATTAATATTTTTAAGGTTTTTTTTTAAGTCTCTTTAAGGTTTTTTTAAAGAGATTACTCTCTTATACTTTAGGTGGAGTTTTGTTGTGATCTTAAATCTATTCTAGCATTTTCTTTTCTAGTATTCTTCAATTTTTAATTTATTTTTTTCTCTTTAAAACAGTATTTTTCCTAGTTTTTCTTAAAATATCTCGGGAATTCTTACTGACTTTTACTCAAAAACTGTTATCTTCATTATCAGAGTTTTCCAGAAAACTCTGAGTTTTCCAGAAAGTATAATGTGTTCATTTCTAATTATCAAGAACCAAAGAAACGTTTCACAAATACTTTCATTATTAGGACATTCTTTCTTGTTAGTAAAATTATCAGAAATAGATCGATCTCTGATCTTTTATCTTTAGTCATAATCCCTTATCCTCTCCTTCCTCTTAATTCTTGTAATTTAAGTGCCTAACTCACCCAGAACATATTACCAAGGTTACCTTTTCATTTAGTTTCTTAACACAATACAACTTAAGATGTTTATGGTTATTTTTCTGATTTTTATATATTCTGTGATTATAGTTTTTAAAATTTTTCTTTACATAATTTTGTACATAGTGAAGACTAGTTTATAATTAAGAAAACTTGTTTATAATTAGTTTATAACTAATATATATAACTAGTTTATAATTAAGAAAACATCATTAAACCAAGTTAATTTTTTTTCAGGCAGTAATGAGTCACTGATTTTATATTTTAGATCCAGTGTTTTTATTTTGAGCAGCTTGTGTGCTGCTTAAATGATGCAGTTTTGACTAAGAAAAGTTTTCTTAATGTGGTGAATGATGACAACTTTTATTTTGATTCTTAGATAAACTTCATTAATAGGTCATTCCATTATGGAAGTTATTTACTTTGAAATATATTTGGCAATACAGTTTTAATCATGATACGTTGATTTAAAGTATCTGTCACATATGGGGCGCCTGGGTGGCTCAGTCGTTAAGCGTCTGACTTCGGCTCAGGTCATGATCTCAGGGTCCTGGGATCGAGCCCTACATCGGGCTCCCCGCTCCGCGGGAAGCCTGCTTCTTCCTCTCCCGCTCCCCCTGCTTGTGTTCCCTCTCTCGCTGTGGCTCTCTCTGTCAAATAAATAAAATCTTTATAAAAAATAAAATAAAATAAAAAATAAAGTATCTGTCACATAGTTTCCACCTGTTCAGAAATTTTCTTATGGTCTAACCTGTGTGAACAACGTGATAGTGATTACTGTGATATGTGACTTTTTTTAAGCCTGTCGATTCAGGGATGAAAAGCATAGCATACGTTTAATTGTTAAAATTTTAATTTAATACAAATTCATGTGATCAGAAAGTTGATTGCATTCCTTAATGCTACTTTGTATATAGAATTTTAGGTAAGAGTTTTTAATTTTTTAAAAATTCATTCATTTTTAACTTGGCATATTTAATAAGTTCTCATTTATCCGTGTTAATAGTGAAAAATATTAATACCAACAGGCAGCGCACCTAATGGATTTTCTGAGAAATTCTACCTAATTGTAATAGAGTGTACCCAAGACAACCGTTCATTGTTACACATGTGGAATTTACATTTGAAGTCCATTCCTGTCTCATTGGGTGAGTCTTCTTTTTTTTTTTTTAATCTTTTGAACTTTAAGTAGGCTTAAATGAACAAATTATATATGGTTAGATAGTTCAGTACATATTTTTTAAACCTGTTCTTATTGAGTGAAAATAATTGTAGTTTTATTCAGTTAATTAAAAAAGCAAACAGATTCTCTGATTTTCTTTCCATAAAGAATCCTATTAATACGTTTTCTCATCCTTCATAAGGCTTTGGGATTATAAAATATAGCAGTTTTGGGACGCCTGGGTGGCTCAGTCGGTTAAGCGTCTGCCTTCGGCTCAGGTCATGATCCCGGGGTCCTGGGATCGAGTCCC